TAGGATTTCAGGAGGGAAGAGCTAGTTAAATTACAGTGTTAATCTCCTTTTGGAACACGGATCAGTCTTAACGAAATCATCTTAGTTTAAGAAGGGGAGAAATAGTTGTAAAAATTATAGCTATTAATCCTAAATATGTCCGGGCTGGGATTTTTAAAAGTCAAGCCCCTGGAAACCACATTAGAATGAGGTAGCCTGAGTTCAAAGAGTTAAAAAGGTATCGACTTCACTTTATCACCAAACCGTCAATACCAAGGAACATTCTTGGGAACCAACTCTTGTACAAGTAACTTTCTTCGTTTTGTGTAATTCTGTTTAGTTTCATCTCTGAGCCCTAATTTTGCCAGATGCCAAAAAAAGGGGAAAATAAAAACCTTTACTTTAGATACCTCTTGGTAAACTCAGCCAAATTCTGCTGTTTCCCAGTTTCTCGGGCCTTAAACCTTGGCCACATTTCTGTTTGTCAGGTTCACCCTTTCCTGCCCCCTGCAATTGATGCTAAACTTGGGGAGCAGGGGGAAGTGTCTGCAGGGGGTAGGGATGGGGCGTCCATTTCTCAGTCTCAAATCTTTTCTGTCCTCTTGCCTAAGACACGCTTCCTCATCCTGTTGGGTGATTGGACCGTCTCTGGTCCAAGGTGCTCACCGTGCCCACACGTGCCCACCCCCCACTCTCAAACTCCCCTGAAATGCTGCCACATCCTCTCCTTAACCTAGGCAGGCACTGTCTACGCCCACCATTCCGAGGTACCTCCCACCTCCTGGCCCACTAACCCCTCTGCATCGTCAGCTGACTTCCTCAGCCCACCCACTCTGGGACTCCCCTGTGCCACACCGGGGCTAAGGAACCCTCTCCCACCCTGCAAGCCATGTTGCTGTTTGTACTGTGTGGTCCCCACTTAGTGATGGTGCAGTGGGGCTTGCACAGACACTGCCGAGGTCCGGGAAGGACGGCAGAGCTTCTGTTGACTCTTCTGTCTTCAAGGTGGATTCTATCATCAGCCGCTCACACGGAGGAGGTCCCATCCAGGGACACTTCAGGTGGCAGTCCCCTCTGCCGCTTCTCCAATCTGGATCCTCTCTCTCTCTCTCCAGCTCGGAGGCTCTGTGTTGACTTCTGAGGAAAAGGCCAATTTTCTGCCATTGTCATCTCCTTTCAAATATATCCCACCTTCAACCTGCATCTGCATCCTCTGGCCGTAAACACTGAGTGTTTGCTGCTTTGTTCTCTGCTCCATTCTGACAACACCTTGTTGGGCGAGATGAAAGGAGAAGCAGTGGTCCAAGGGAAGAGAAGGAACAGCATTTACTATTTCGAATTGTCATCTCATCCCATGCAAATTGAAGCACTGCTTTCCTGACACAAACTAAGCCATCCTCTGTGATTCCCATCATACACCACTTCTCCCGGGGTCTTTAACTCGGGAGTTTAGAGGTGACTCAAATGGGTTATTTGTACACTAAAATAATAGCATGAAATATTCGGCCAAGGTTAATTGGTGGATTCGTAAGGGATTGTTTTCAGCGTGACTGCAGATGTGTATAACTTACAGTGTCTTCCGAGATGCGGCGGAGAATGGTGGTGGAGCCCACCAACTCCGGGGCAGTGCTCCCTGGGCTCCGGACCTGGTCAGCCGTCTGCAGGCTGCGGGACCTTTTCTTCTCATCTGTGAAATGGGAGCGACACAATACATACTGCATAAGGTCGAGAGGAGAACTAAATGAGTTAATACATGTAAAAAAAAAATAGGGTTGCACCTGGCATTTGGCATGTTAGGTTTCTTTTAGCTGAGATGATTTTGAATGCTCATGAGTCTCGCTGAGAAAGCTTATCCCCAGGAACAATCTGGGTCTTGTGTCTATGCCGTTTTGCCCTGGACCAGCTCCTCTTCCTCCAAGTTCTCTTTGTCGCCCTCCCCCTCCCCTGTCTGCTCCTCTTCCTTCCCTTCCTCCTCCTCCTCTTGAATCATCAAGCATCCTCTCTTTGGCTCATGGACCATTCTTCTGACAGGCATCCCGGTCCATGCCCGGTTTGTCCCTGCCCTGTACACTGGCGTGCTCAGCGCACAGTGCTCTCGCTCTTTCTGCAAGTTGGTCAAGTTTTGTCCTGAGATCTCCACCTCAGCCACAGTGGGTTATGGTACACTTTTCTCTTGTTCATCTGTTTTTATGCCAGTGCTACACCTACTTTTCTTTGATTTCAAAACTCTTGGCAACCCACACACACTTCTAACCACCACGGGCTTCCAAGGCAGCTCGCTTCTGTTTCAGAAAAATTCTAGGCGCCTCGGGTTTCTGTGCTGAGTGCACATGGGCAGTACCCCTCATTTCCCGAGTAACTTTCTCTGCATGGTGCCTTTCTCTTTTCTGCCTCTGAGCTGTCTTTTACTCCTTGTTGGGTTACACATTGGTTCCACTTGACCTACTCCAAGACTGGTCCATTGGTCGCTGCCACTTCAAAAGCATCACTATCACATGTCTGCATGTCAGGAAAACTTGTGGAACCTTCCAACATCTTTTGAGTAAAATAGAAATGATGATTTCTTCTGAGTTGTGTACTAAGCTAATATTGGGAATTTTCCATCCACATAGAAACACATACACAACTAAAAGCTTCAAAATGAAGTGATTTCTATGCAGCAATAGCAATAATATAAAATCAAAACTGTCGTCTCATTCTCCCTTTTCATTGACGAAGAACATACCACTTTTGACAATTTTCATAGACCAAAAAGGTATATCTATAAAGCATACACATTTTGGCCACACGTAGCCATTTTTTTAACCCTCAAATCAGTTCCCGGCAAAGCCGAAGGACTCTCATCATTTTCTAAATCATCCTTCCATCCACCATGGGAAGGATCTAATAGCTGGACTTCTGAGAAGATAGAATCATAGCCTTTCCTCCTTGGCTCATGTCGGATATGGCGAGGTTCTCCAATATCGACTTCTGGAAGGAGGGAGGGGAGGGCAAGGCTGTGTCTGGGAGACGGAGCGCAGAGCATTAAGGGGAAGAAGGAGATGATGGCAGAGGAGGGAACGTTGTCAGCATCACAGAGAAACAGATCTGGAGTGTGACAGAACTGGGGGTCGGAGGCTCAGCTCATCCCAGTGGGCAGGTCGCTTAACAATTTTATGTTTAGATTTCCTCATCTACAAAATAAGAATATTAACACCACCTCTCAGGGGCTTGGGGAGCTAGAAGAGATCACCAACTGGCATCTTTGGCTGGCATGAGGTGGCCCTGGGAAAGAGGTCGTCTCTGACGCCCATGCATCAGCCTGCTGGCGTTCCCAAGAACATCCCCTACGGTCTCCCAGAAGGCCCAGGATGCCGCTCCAGAGTAAAAATCGATTGTTGGTGTTCAGCGCACAATTCGTAAACGTTGACCCCACACTCTGATTTCTGTTCTTTTCTCTAGCTTCCCTCCTTAGTTTCAGGGAGAAACCCAAAGGGGCTGCGTAAGCTCAGGTCGCCCCTTTTTTCTGGGCCCCGAAGACCAGAGGTTTCCAAATAGGGAAGGAGGTCAACGAAAATCGTCTTTCCTAGGAAGGGGTACCACGTCCACACATCCAAATTCCGAGAAGCAGCATCCAAAACACGACGTCTTCCCAGGTCTGAGCTTCCTGACCATCCCCCTTCTTTGCCCTCTGAGGGCCGGGCTGTGAAATAGGTCACTGCAATCACGAGACAAGTTCTAGCGGCTTCCCACCCCCTCAGGCTTCCTGGAGCTGGGGGCGCATAGCGAGGGCCGGAGAAGAGTTTACCGTATGAGCTGATGGGGATAAGAAACTATGTGAATGTGACTTCTAACGTAGGATGGGATGAAGTTGTGTGTTTTTTTAATCTCATATTTCATGCAGGGCTGGGCTGAGGATGTGGCAGGCATGGCGTATGCCCTACGTTCACTGCCAGAGGGGGCTCCCTGCCTGCCACAGGTGAGAGCCAGCTCTGGGGTGTCTGCCCCAATGGGGGAGGGGGGGCGGGGCCTGCCGGGGGAGGGGTGGGGACTTTGCTCCACCTTTGGTGGTCCCCAGGAGGACTTTATCACAGAATCCAAAACTTCATGTCCTGAATGTTCACTTTCTTAGATCGTAAATGAAATTGCGACAGATTAAACCCATATTCTTTTGGTTGCCTTTTGTAGTGCACGCTGTTACCTGGCACACGGTACGAGAGTATAAAGTGTATGTGCAAATTTCTGAGAATCTGGGCCTCCCTGCATTCTGTAATGGAATCGGAATGCTTGATCATTCTGCTATTGCAAGTACATTTCAATAGTAAAGTTAGGTGTGTTCCATTAAGGCCGCCAACCACCAACCCAAGACAAATTGTATATCTTATTTTATAAATTAGACATTGAATTGTGGCCCGAGACACAGTACATTTTGATCTTAATGTTTTTGTAATTTATATTTTTACTCTCGATTTTTAATGTCGTATTTCTCTCTTTACCCTTAACTTTTACTGACATATTTATTCTTTATCATTCAACAGATCTACTGAAAGTATGTTTGGCAGCTCAGCTCTCTGCCCCACCCCCAAATTCACATCTCTTTAAAAAAAAAAAAAATCTCCAACACTCAACCTTTTATCATTTTCTACTTTTTCTGGGGTTCGTTTTTTATTCTTCTTACTGTCCATAGCTAGCCCTTCCTGACCCAAATCATCACATCTTAAAGCATCCAGTATACACATCAAGCAAACAGCTGCACATGGCTTTCCAACTCCAATACTGAAAACGCTGGCACCAAAAAACCAAAATGCACTTAACTGATTCACCCTGAAATCTTTATCATATCCTGAAGGCAAAAATAATAATAATAATAATGTTAAAACATTCAAATACATGTCTAACCTATTCAACCCCTTCTAAACCAGGTCTTGATAAGTCAGCCTTTTCGGCTCCTGTAAACGGCAGTCTGCCACCCCGCACGCGCTGTTCGCTTGTGGGGTTTCCCGCCTCCGCTTCTAACGCCATCGCCTCCGTCTCCTTTGCAGTGGTCAGTGTACATCCGAGCCGCTGTCCGCAAGGAGAAGGGCCTGCCCATCCTCGTGGAGCTGCTCCGAATAGATAACGACCGTGTGGTGTGCGCCGTGGCCACCGCGCTCCGCAACATGGCCCTGGACGTCCGAAATAAGGAACTCATAGGTACGTGCTCTCTGTTCTCTCGGGCGCGTCCCAGCGTCCCCGTCTGTAAATGACAGTGTCCTGCGTCTGTCCCGCCGCACGCGGCTGAACCCACACGCGGAGCGCGCGCGCAGGCAGGAACGGGGCCTGCGTTACAGGCCGCGTGTCTTCCCGGTTCTCCTGGTTTAAACCCACGCCCCGGGGGTACCTTTTAGAGTATGGAGGACACGCTGTGTTTGTGGACATTTCTAATCTTTGCAATGACCGCAGTGCCCAGAACTGGATGCCATCTTCTTCCCCGCCCTCCGAATCCCTGTGGGGCTCTTGGTTTGCTTTCCAGGTGGTGAACGGGGTTGTCACGGGACACAGGCCACTTCGCCTCCCCTCTCTTTAAATTTCTTTTGGATGAGACCCTGTTGGCACTTTCATCCTATTTTTTAGAGAATCCTCTCCCTTTAATTTGGTATTCAAGAGATAGGGAGGACCTTTAATTAATGAACATTAAAGAGGTCATACATTCATCTGTTTATTCAGTGAGTATGTATCTATGACCTACCTTGGTCCAGGCCTGTTCCAGGCCCAGAGATTACATCAGCCAGCAAAACAGGAAGCTTTGCCATCACGGAGTTTACATTTGGGGGAGGGGAGATGCGCGGTAAACAGAATACACATGCGAATAACATTCCATGGGGAGAAATGGACCCAGGTAAAGGAGACTGTGATTGGTGAGGTTGCTATTTTTTTTTTTTAATTGAAGTGAAATTCACATAACATAAAATTAACCATTTTAAAGGGTACCATTTCAAGGCATTTAGGATTTTAACAATATTGTACAACCACCACTTATATGGAGCTCCAAAACATTTTCATCCCCCTAAGGAAAACCCTGTACCATTAGTCACCCCCGTCACCCCTCCTCTCAGACCCTGGCAGCCACCAAGGTATGTTCTGTATCTATGGATTTTCCTTCTCAGGTTGTTTCATGTAAATGGAATAATATAGTGTGTGAGCTTTTATGCCTGACTTCTTTTACTTAGCATAAGGAGTTTTGATCATAAATAGGAGGTCGAGGTAAGAGTTGTTGGGGAGGTAACAGCTGAGCAAAGATTTGA